TTACAACGAGTTGCCAGTCACCTACCGCAATTCGTCGCACTTTTTATTGCCACGTACCAGAATTTTGACCAGGACAGGAACACATAAAGACTGCAACGAGTTGCTTCCCGGCATGTACAAACTGCACGGCAGCTGGTACCGAGTAGGCATGAAGCCGATCGAGTCGCTTCCTCCGCCGACGATCCAGCCGCTTTTTACTCCCACGTGGAAATACGTCAGTCCGGACACACTCGCCATCAGCGGGATCTACTCCGCAGACGATCTGAACCGACTACGAGACCACATAATGTTCCCAGTCGAAAAGTCGTCTATGCTGAATACAATAGCGCGAGGGGCCTTAGGACGTCCCGAGCGGGAGTATTTCCTTGATGAATCTTCTCGACGAAAAGTCTTTAGATCGGATCGCTGAAAGTACAGAGAAACAATTATGGCAAGGATTTATCACGTTTGGCTCGGCCAGCGCAGGAGTCTTGGCGTTATTCGTGATAGCCAGACTGATCAAGTTAGTGATCGATACGGATACGCGCTGCACAGAATATACGGATGGAGCCTTCATATATTGGGAGCAGTATGGTCATTAGTCACTAATCTTTTGCTGCACATGGCCAATCCAGCAACAAAAACCGACTTGCCTAGCAGGGAACGCCTCATGCCAATAGCTCAGAGCTCGACAGAAGACACACCGACGGCGCCCGAAATCGCCCCTAGTGCTGAAAAGGGAAAGTTTAGTGAGCATGTGCGGTCATACAGTGAACTCCAAAAATACTTACGCGAGGACGTAGTGTAGAGACAAATAAGTGCGATAACTAATTACAAGCGCTAGCATATAAGACGAATAAACATAAGTAAAATAATTGTAGCTCAAACCTTCTGCAACCTAACCTCTAGCAGAGCAGGGGAAACGCAGGGCACCTGGCCCTGCATTTATTCTTAGGGGGGAAGGTGTGACGTCAGGAGAGCCAACGTAAAAATTTTTCCTTCCCCTTTTATCCCACCTGTGCAGAAGCGCCACTATTCTAGCCGCCAAAGTTGGCAATAACCGGCTCTTCTGCCATCGACATACCACGTGTTGCGCCTTACCGTCAGTAAATATACACTATAACGAATATAAGTATTATAATAATAGGCAATCTCATAGGTTGCAAATTATTAGATAACCAATAGTAGTAAGCATTTTTCCTAGAATAAGTAATAAAAGTAAATAATAATAATAAATAAAATGATAAATAACAATAACGAATCATGCTAACAATAAATCTAATTAATTGTAAAACTATTTCTATAATAAGGTTCGGGTTGCTGTTGCGCGCATCATCTCCAGTCAGCCGCGCGCTGATTGGTCGACCACCGACCATTATAGATATGTACGTCTAGTCTAACTCCATGGTCTATGACTGCCGTGAGCGCCACGTGCGTTGGCGTACCCACGCCATCCGCCATCTTGCGCTACGTGCTTCGGCATGCCCACACCATCCGCCATCTTGCGCCACGTGCGTTGGCGTACCCACGCTACCGCCATGTTGCGCAACAGCGCCGCCTCAGGCACGCGTTACAACGCGCGGCCATACTCGGGCACTCTTGTGCGCGTCGTCGACTAGTGAACACTGCGCGAGCGTCGTCTCGTTCAAGTATAAGCGTGTTTCAATTTCTAGACTTAGTTCAAATTGTTTCAATCTCTAGTTTTAGTTCAAATCCTATTAATAGTTCAAATTCTAGTTTGATATATATAGTGTTAATATTCCGTGAGTGTAAATTCAGTGAATATCTAAATATA